GGGGTACGATCGAAGACGAGCAGGGCGGGTATCGAGGGTTCGGGATATACGTCTTGGATGACACGCGATCAGATATGAGCGATCAGTCTTAAAATGATTGTGGTTGTTGTTGTGGTGGTGATGGTGGTGGTTGGAGTGGTGGTTGCTGTTGTTGTTACTATTGTTGTGGTTGTGGTTGTGGTTGTGGTTGTGGTTGTGGTTGTGGTTGTGGTTGTGGTGGTGGTGGTGGTGGTGGTTGTTGTTGTCGTTGTTGTTGTTGTTGTTGAACATTATTACTTCTAAAGAATAATTATTGTTGGGACCCCTGGTGCGCGGCCCCCTCGCCGCGCCTAGGCCGCAGCCACGTTTTCATCATTTTCGTGAGGAAGTCTCAGGCAAAACGGGTTGGTCCGGATCCGGTTGTTTTGTTACGGGCGGTTTTCCCTTGCAGCAAATAAGGCAAAGTGGACATCTCTTGTTCTAACATAACCAAACTTCAATAATCCCTTGGAAAAAAATAAGGTAAAGTGGACATTCGCGCGCGCAAGACGAAATCCTTCCAAAACCCTAGTGTTCGTAACGATTTTAACATAAAAACATCAAACAACCAATGATTTTTCAAAAAAAAGTGTCAACATTTCATCCCGCGCGCTCTTGCGGATTCGTAGGAAACCCAACACTTTTTAAACATTTCTGTCAAACGGGCTTTTGCGAGCAACTTTTTCGAACTTCTGCAACAACGGTTGCGCACCTGCCAGGGCCATCATCCCTGTCAAATAATACCATGCGGGACACATTCGTTTTTTCTTCGCGCGCGCACGCCGTCGTCGTCGGCCGCGGGGCCCTGAATAGTAGCCACGGTCGTCCGCATGCCACGAAGTGAAGTGTCCGAACGTCATAGGGCGGGAAGCTGGGTGTGGGTGGTGGCGAAGAGTCGTTTGGAAATTTGGTAGAGCTTGAACCGGCCCCCCCACAAAGTGGGGGTATTGCCCGCCTCCTATGAAAACCCTGGCACTGGTGAGAACGGAGTGTCCCCACGTGCTAGTAATTGTTGTTGTTGTTGTTGTTGTTGTTGTTGTTGTTGTTGTTGTTGTTGTTGTTGTTGTTGTTGTTGTTGTTGTTGTTGTTGAACATTATTTATTCTAAAGAATAATTATTGTTGGGCCCCCTGGTGCGCGCCCCCCCTGCGCGCCTAGGCCGCAGCTACATTTTCATCATTTTCGTGAGGAAGCCTCAGGTAACGAGTGTGATCAAGATCCGGTTGTTTTGTTGTAATCCGCTTTCCCTTGCAAAAAACACTATAAAATGACATTTCTTGTTCTAATATAATCAAATTTCAAGAATCCCTTGCAAAAAATAAGGTAAAGTGGACATTCGCGCGCGCAAGACGAAATCCTTCCAAAAGCTTAGTGTTCGGAGCGATTTTAACATAAAAACATCAAAAAACCAATGGTTTTTCAACAAAAAAATGTCAAAATCTCATCCCGCGCGCTCTTGCGGATTCGTAGGAAACCCAACACTTTTTAAACATTTCTGTCAAACGGGCTTTTGCGAGCAACTTTTTCGAACTTCTGCGACAACGGTTGCGCACCTGCCAGGGCCATCATCCCTGTCAAATAATACCATGCGGGACACATTCGTTTTTTCTTCGCGCGCGCACGCCGAAATCTCCAAAAACCATTGGGTTCTGTGGGTGTGTACCCCACGCCAGTGTAGTAGCCACGGTCGTCCGCACGCCACGAAGTGAAGTGTCCCAACGTCATAGGGCGGGAAGCTGGGTTTGGGTGGTCGCGAAGAGTCGTTTGGATATTTGGTAGAGCTTGTAATGCCCCCCCACGAAGTGGGGGTATTGCCTGGTGTCGTATGAAAACCCTGGCACTGGGGAGAACACCACGCGTTCGGGTAAAATGATTGTTGTTGTTGTTGTTGTTGTTGTTGTTGTTGTTGTTGTTGTTGTTGTTGTTGTTGAATTCTCATTTCTGAAGAATAATTATTGTTGATCCCCCCCCACCGGTGCATACTGTTTTTTCTCAATCAAAGTGTGCCCCTCGACGCTCGCACCCGGTTTTTTGACAGGGAAAGTCTTCCTGCTCAACTGGGCCCCTGGCCCCCAGGTTACAACAACGATGGCTCCCGTTGAGACTTCCTTACAATTTAGCCAGGACCCCCGCTCCCGCCCGAGACTTCCTCGCATTTTATTCAGGAATCGCGCTCTCGCTTAGGACTTCCTCAGAATTCATTCAGGAATCGCTCTCCCGGCGTTCTGGAGTCGCGCTCTCGCTAGAGACTTGCTTGCAACTTACTGAAGAATGGCCTTGCGTTGGAATTTCCTGCAATTTGCCCAAGCGCCGCGCTCCCGACACCCAGGCACCCAGGAGTCGCGCCCGTTGTGGCCCCATGTGCATGCCCTTCGTGGCCCCGCTGTCGCCATTTGTGCCCCCCTCACTGTCCTACGTGGCCCAGTTGCTACCCTCAGTGGCCCCATAGTTGCCTTCTGTGGCCCCGCATTATCTGCACTTCGTGGCCCCCGCTCGTTCGCGCTCTTCGTGGCCCCATACGCATTCCCTTCGTGTCCCCGCTGTCGCCCTTCGTGGCCTACTTCGTGCCCTTCGTGGTCCTGCTGTCGTTCTCTCTCGCTTTCGCTTTCGCTCGTCGTCGTCGTCGTCGTCGTCGTCGCCGTCGTCTTCGACGTCGTCGTCGTCGTCGTCGTCGTCGTCGTCGTGGTCGGTCCCCTGTCCGTCCCTCTTGGGGTCGGGTCGACAGTCCGCGGCCGCCCCGCCGGTCAGCGCTGCCGCTGGCCAGGCCGACGGTCCGCGGTCGCCCCACCGCTTGCCGGGGCCTGGCCTGCAGGGAAAAAAGGTATACCCCCCAGGAGGGGTTCGATCGAAGACAAAGAGGGCGGGTATCGAGGGTTTGGGGGAAATTCGTGTCATTGGACACTCGAGCATATAAGGGCGAACAGTCTTAAACATATCATTGTTGTTGTTGTTGTTGTTGTTGTTGTTGTTGTTGTTGTTGTTGTTGTTGTTGTTGTTGTTGTTGTTGTTGTTGTTGTTGTTGTTGTTGTTGTTGTTGAACCTTAATTACTAAACAATTATTATTGTTGGACCCCCTATATTCGCCCTGGCGCTCTCGCCGAGGCGCCGGCCGCATTTCCTCTGAAATTGAGGCTCACGCTCAGGCGTTTTGGGGTTCCGCCAAAACCGGCCCCCCAACAACAACAACGCTCCGGCTCGAGACTTCCTCCTTTTTTACTCGGGCTCGGTGCTCTTGCTCGCCGCCGAGAGCGGCTCCCGGGCCGGACGCCCGGGTCGGCGCCCGAGCCGGCGCCCGGGCGCCGGAAAATCGAGTTCCGAGGCGGCGCCGAAAAAAGGCCATTCCAATACACATTTTTCTTTCGAAAATGCTGAATTTCTGCTTCCGGCGCCCGGGAGGGAGGCCGTCCGGGCCGATTCCGGAGCTCGGGCCGGCACCCGGCCCGGCTCCCGGGCCGGACGCCCGGGTCGGCGCCCGAGCCGGCGCCCGGGCGCCAGAAAATCGAGTTTCGAGGCGGCGCCGAAAAAAGGCCATTTCAATACACATTTTTCTTTCGAAAATGCTGAATTTCTGCTTCCGGCGCCCGGGAGGCCGTCCGGGCCGATTCCGGAGCCTGGGCCGGCACCCGGCCCGGCTCCCGGGCCGGACGCCCGGGTCGGCGCCCGAGCCGGCGCCCGGGCGCCGGAAAATCGAGTTCCGAGGCGGCGCCGAAAAAAGGCCATTCCAATACACATTTTTCTTTCGAAAATGCTGAATTTCTGCTTCCGGCGCCCGGGAGGCCGTCCGGGCCGATTCCGGAGCTCGGGCCGGCACCCGACCCGGCCGGCACCCGGCCCGGCTCCCGGGCTGGACGCCCGGGCAGTTCTCCGATCGCGCCGAAAAGAGGCCATTCCAATACACATTTTTCTTTCGAAAATGCTGAATTTCTGCTTGCGGCGCCCGGGAAGCCGTCCTGGGCCGATTCTGGAGCGGTTTTGGGCCGGACGCCCGAGCCGGCGCCCGTACGTGGTGCTTCTCTGCTTCTGGCGCCTGCGCAGCTTCCCGAGCCGCTTCTGGAACCATATCTGAGCCGGTCCAGCGATAGGTTTCCTGGATGTGGTGAACCATCCAACTTTTTGAAACTTCTGCGTCTCAAGGATAGGGAGAGAAGACGTTAAAGGAGGATCAAAAAGCAACGTCGCTATGAACGCTTGGCTGCCACAAGCCAGTTCTACTTACTTGGACTACTACTACCGTTACCACTACTACTAGTGCTACAGCCGCAACGACAATATCATCAACTGCTGCTACTACAACTACTCATCCTTCCTTCCCCTCCTCCCCCTCCCTTCTCCTCCTCCCCCTCCCTATCTCTCTCATCTCCCCCTCCTCTTCCTCTTCCTCTCCCTCTGAGATGCGGGGCATGCGCAAGGCGATTGCGAAGGCGATGTGCCGTCCGAGCTATGGATGTTGAAGTTCCTCGGAAGAGGTGGTGGCCAAACCTTCTTGGGCGGGATATCTGGGTGAGGGAATATCGGATCCCGCATGCCAGAAAAATCCCCCATGATGGGGTGTGTTATCCAGATGGATGCATGTGTCATGTGGAAGCATGGCGCATGAGGGTAAAATGATTGTTGTGGTTGTTGTTGTTGTTGTCATCATTAATATTATCATTATTATTGTACTAGTATTCTTGCTATTTAGTATTATTGTTGTTGTTGTTGCGGCTGCTGTCGCTGCTGTTGTTGTTGCTGTTGTTGTTGATGATACGCTGATGATGATATTGTTGTTGTTGTTGTTGTTGTTGTTGTTGCTGTTGTTGTTGTTGTTGTGGTTGTTGTTGCTACTGTTGTTGTTGCTGTTGCTGTTGCTGTTGCTGTTGCTGTTGTTGTTGTTGTTGTTGTTGTTGACCTCGCTGTTTCCATTCCCGACGTGCACCAGCCTTCTAGATAGCAATGTCCGAGCCGTTTAACATGACATGTGCCAATCTGAATGCCTCCCTTCAGCTGACCGACGCGTTTTGCCGCAACCACGGCCTGAACTGTGCGAAGGCTCCTGGCGACTGCTTCTCGATGGGGCATTGGCGAGGACCGAGGTCGAGGGCAACAGGATGTGGGGTCGAGGCTGGATGGAGCTGGCATGAAGAGCAGGAGAAGAAGGAGGAGGAGCAGAAGCAGGAGTTGGAGGAGGAGGAGGAGGAGGAGGACGACTAAGACCGGGAGGAAGTGGAACAGCACCGGGAGTGGGAGGATGAGTACGAGGGTGTGGCATGGAGGGGGAGTGGGAGGGGCATTGGGATGGGGAGGGGGGCGGATGGGAGGAGGATGAGTAGGTTGAGGAGGGAGGGAGGGGAAGGGGATGGAGGAGGAGGGGCAGGAGGGTTGAGGAAGAGGAGGAGGAGGAGGAGGAGGGCGAGGAGGACGAGGAGGAGACTGAGGATGGTACAACGGACTACGATGGGGGCGAGGAGAAGGGGGCGATGACGAGGATGAGGAGGAGGGCATGATGATGCTGATGATGCTGACGATGACGATGATGGTGATTGTGGTGGTGATGGTGATGGTGATGATGATGATGATGATGATGCTGATGCTGACGATGATGATGTTGTCGATGATGATGATGATGCTGATGATGGTGACGATGATGATGATGATGATGATGATGATGATGATGATGATCATGATGATGATGATGATGATGATGATGATGATGATGATGGCGACGATGACGTTGGAGTCGTTGATGACGATTACGATGATGATGACGATGCTGATGATTATGATGATGATGATGAGGATGATGATGATGATACTGATGCTGCTGCTGATGATAGTGATAATGAGGATGATCATGGTGGTGGTGGTGGTGCTGCTGCTGTTGCTCTTGCTGTTGCTGTTGCTGTTGCTGTTGCTTGTGCTGGCGGAAATGATGATGCTGCTGCTGATAATGATGTTGACGATGATGATGTTGATGATGATGATGATGATGATGATGATGATGATGATCGTACCTTTTGTTGTTGATGATGATGCTGATGCTGATGATGATGCTGCTGATAATGATGATGATGCTGATTATGCTGAAGATGATGGTGGTTGTGGTGATGATGATGCTGACGATTGTGGTAGTAATACCAATAATAATAGTAGTAATGATGATACTAATGATGATGATAATGATAATGCCAATGATAATGATGATGATATTGATAATGGTATTAATGATAGTATTACTACTAATAATAGCAAGCAGTATGGTAGTAGTAGTAGTAGTAGCAGTAGTAGTAGTAGTAGTAGTAGTAGTAGTAGTAGTAGTAGTAGTAGTAGTAGTGATAGTAGTAGTAGTAGTAGTAGTAGTAGTAGTAGTAGTAGTAGTAGTAGTAGTAGTAGTAGTAGTAGTAGTAGTAGTAGTAGTAGTAGTGGTGGTGGTGGTGGTGGTGTGGTGGTGGTGGTGGTGGTGGTGGTGGTGGTGGTGGTAGTAGTAGTAGTAGTGGTAGTAGTAGTAGTAGTAGTAGTAGTAGTAGTAGTAGTAGTAGTCGTAGTAGTAGTAGTAGTAGTACTAGTAGTAGTACATATAATACTAATGACAGTAATCACACTAATAATCGTAGTAATAGTCTTAGTGTCACAAATGATAGTAATACTCGTAAAGCATAGTATTCATAATGCTAATAATTGAGGATCTGATTATTATGGTGATGCTGCCCATGATGATGCTGATGCTGATGCTGATTCTTGCTTCTGCTGCTGCTGCTGAGGAGGAGGAGGAGGTGCCACCAGGCGGCACTCGCTGGCCACGCAGCCCAGCGCGGCCTCGCCTCACACAGGGGGGGCGGGTCCCCACCGCGGCCGCCGCCGGGCCGTCGGCCCGCTCCCCTCCCCTGTCCGCGGGGGGCCCGGCTGGCCGCCCCCTCCCAGCAGCCGTGCTCGCAGACGTGCTCGCGTGGTAGTAAAGATCACGACGGGCGGTTTCTGGCCACTTTCGGCCTCTGGTCGCCGAGCGCGTTCCACTACTCGCAAAGTGCCTACTCGCAAACGTCCGAAAAACCCAAGGTTGCTTCGATGTAATGTATCGTGAATCCCCCACGGCGGATCCACGCCATTTGCGAGCAGTGACTTTGCGAGTAGTGGAAGGCGCTTGCCTATTTGGGTCTGTCAAAGAACGGCTCAGGACGAAAACCGGGCTTTAGGGAGAGGGGTCGGGTCTTCCAGGGACTTGGTATGGAACACAATCAGGACATCGCATGTATGGGTTGCTCTCGCGGCCCTGCTGCTCCCCAAGAAATCGACGAAAGTGGAACGGAAGTGAAACGGAAATGGAGCGAAAGTGGAACGAAAGCAAACGCCTGAGCGTTACGCGAAGGCTCCCATGACGGCCACGTAACGCCTCTAACATCAGCACGTAGTATTTGTACGGCGGGTTCGCGTCTTGTCGACTGGCGGCGACCACGCCGCCGACGTTCAACGTTGAATGCCGCCAGCAACCCATAATCGGTCGATGTTGAACGATCTGACGTTTCGGAAACCGCCGATCGGCGCCGATGCATCGGTGATGCGGCGCGATTTTCCGACTCCATCTATTGGGAACTCATTTTGGAGGCCTCTATCAGCGCGAGGGCCACTGGACAGATCGAGGAGCAAGACATTGTATCAACATAATTTTGCAGATCTCCGCGCGAGTTTTTTGGTTCGGTGCTAGGACCCCCGGGCGGCGCCTCTGGCGCCGTCCCTGGCGCGCTTTGCGCGCTAGGGAGGAAGATCCAGCGCAGAATCATTATCCGAACGGAGCTCCCAAAGTGTATGTTTATTAATCGCTTCGCTGATTCCGCTGGCCCTCGAGCTCTATGGGGCCTCTTTGAAGCCTTTTGGGGGCCTCTTTGGGGCCTCCTAGGGGCCTCTTGGGGGCCTCTTGGGGGTCTCTTGGGGCTCCTTGGCGGCGTCTTGGGGCCCCCTTGGGCCTCTTGGGGGGCTCTTGGGGGGCCTCTTGGCGCGGGGTAGTCGAGTGCACCCCCCTCGGAGACCACGATCCTCGTGAGGGGTGTCGAAAAAAGGCCCTCAAAACCATCTCTGGGTAGACTTGGTCGGGCTGCGGTCGGGATACTTTTCGCCGGGGGACCCCCAGGGGCCGCCTCGCGCGCGCGAACTAGAAATATTGTTAACCAGTTACGGGAGATCTTAGCACGCCTCTGGCCCGTTGGACCGGCGAATCTTGGCCTTTCTTCCTCCACGACCCTGAGATCTTGGCGTTGCATTCTTTACAATGGGCGATTTTGCCTTCTGTCGGACTCCAGGTCTATCACAGATCGATCTGGCTTGAAACATACCGCGGAAAGATGTGGTCTAGGGCTCTGGTCTTGATTTTTCGAGATGTTTCATGTTGCAATATCGGGAAGCCCATACGGCCAGTGCCGCCGACCCTTCAGGGGGACGACGAAGGCGGCGGCGGCGACGACGACGCTGACGCTCTGAAGCCCTTCTTGGGGATCTCTTGGCAGGGAGCCGCTTGGGCTCTATTCGGACGGGGCTAGGAAGAGAGCCTTCCAGAATGCTCTCAGAGCGTTCCGGAACGCTCTGAGAAGGCCGCGACGCCCGAGACACCTTCCGGATCCGCGGGATCTCAGAGATTCTCGATCGTTCAGCCCCCGAATCTATCTTCGTCCTGGCTTCGTCTTTATCTGTTGGGGCTGGGTCTGATTTTTTTTTTCTGCGATGTTTGCCTTCTTTTCTGCCACGCAGGGCCTCAGGGTGTTGCCTGGGAGCGTCGAGAATCAAAGAACCAAGGGGTCCTTCCCCTTCTCTCCTTTCTCGCGAATCATGCCCACCAATGCTTTAAGGTCGGGGTTAGTGTCGGAGGTGGATATGCCTCCTACCCTGACACGTCGATAAAAAGGAATTGGCCGTTTTCGGTTCGCGAGGGCGTCGCGGCCGTCATTTTTGCGGGTCCAGGTCCGTCGGTTTCGGTCCCAGGCCGTTTTCACTAAGGGGAGGTTTACCAAAGGGAGGTTTGTCCACCGCCGATAGTGGCTCTATCAGGTTTCTCGACCTTATGAGGGGTTCCCGTTCAGCGCTCCCCTGGGGGAGGTCTGGGGGGGGTGCCCCCCGGGATCTGGACCTGGCCACGGGCGGAACGCCGGCAGAAGCTGGCAGAAGATGCCCGCTCTCGGCCAGAGTCGGCCCCATTTCGGCAGACGCGTCTCCAGGCGGCATGGACGGCCCCAAACTGGTCCGCAAGATGGTCCCCGAGGGCGAGGAATCGCCGACAACTCGATCCAAGACGCCCAAGACAGCCTCAAGATGGTCCAAGAGGCCCTCAAGGCGCCCCAAGAGGCTTCCAGGAGAGCCTCCAAGAGGGCCTGGAGAGGCAAATTTGTTGCATATCTTGTGGAAATGTCGATGTCTTTCGCGTTTCCGCTTTTTCCACTTTCCCCACGCTCCGAAACGGCCCAAGAGGCTCCAAAGATCGCCCCAAGACGGCCTCAGGCCCCGAACACGGCGCCCTCCTGGCCAGAGAGGCACTCAGGACGGGCCAAGAAAGCTGTAGGAACTCAAGAGGAGTCCCATAGCGGGAGCAGGAACCGACACTTCGAATTCTTCGCCCACGCAAAAATTTCAGAGGCCCCCTGTGGCCCACAAGACGCCCCGACAAGTCGCCCAGAGGCTCCCAGGGAGCCCCAAGAGGTCCCCATGAGGACCATCCAATTGCCCAAGAGGCCCCCAGGAAGCCCCGACACGGCCCGAGACCTCCTCAGTACAGCTGCCGCGCGTGCTTTGCCCCCGGTGGCTCGCATGGATGCGTGCTCAGCTCACCTCGTGGCTCGCATGGTAGCGTGCTGAGCTCACGTTGTCGCTCCCGCTGTACCGTGCTGAGCTCACCGAAACGACAAAGCTCTAACTTCGGCGGTGGCTCGCATGGAATCATGCTGAGCTCAGCGTGGCTCGCCTCCGCGCCCACACGGTCTTTCTTTCTGACCGTATGGCTCCGGAACGTGGCTGTAAAAGATCATTCTCTGCATCGGGGTTTCCTTCACGGTGGGATGCAAGGAGGATGC